AATTTTGCTTCGACTTGCAACCGGTGCTTCGAGTTATGAACGGGGAAAAAAGGGTGGAGAAGGTAGGGAATTTGAACTGCTTTCAGTAAACAGTTGGTCAGTGAAGAGGCTGCTTCTCTATAGCTCTTTCGCCCCAGGGGTTAGAGAGTGTGGGTTCAGAGAGAGACTTCGGATTGCCTGGCACTGTACTGCACTATACTTTTTGGGCATTTTTGTTTTTTTTAAATTTTTCTTTTTGGATTTTTTCTTTTTGACTTTCTTTTTTAAAACAGACTTTCTGTTCTGGGTGAATACTGTATGTACAGGGTTTTTGCAGTGTGTGTTTGAGATGAGGGGGTTATGTTTCTGTGCTCTGGTGGGTCTTGCAGTGTGTAGTTGTAGCATTTTTAGTCCCTGCTAGAATTTCTTTTTAATTCTGTGGCTCCTACGGTTTGTGTACTGTGACCTCTCTTTTGTTTTCAAAGGTGTTTGGTTTAAAATGTGTAGGTGTAAAATGTGTAGGTTTAAAATGTGTGGGTTTAACATATGTTTTAGACTCCAGTCTCTCCCCCCCATTGTCTTCTCTCTCTCTGTCCTCTTTTTGTGCTTAAAAACACAAACCTTTCTCTGAGGGCTTTGTGTGCCCCAGTGATGACCTTCCTTTCCCCCTTTTTCCCATTGTTCCTTCCCTTCCTCCCTCCTTTCCTGCCCTTTTTTATTTTACCTAAGTTCATCTTAGGTCAAAAGAAGAAAAATTCCCCCTAGTGGTAGAGTATGGATTATCCGGCTTTGCATTAGTTCCTATGGGAACTAATGCTTCAATGTACGAATGGCACCTCTATACAAAAACAGCCAGAACGGATTAATTGTTTTTCAGTGCATTCCTATGGGAAATTTTGCTTCTACTTACGAACGTTTCAACTAACAAACATCTTCTGGGACGGATTAAGTTCATAAGTAGAGGTTCCACTGTAATGCAAAAGCGGTTCATCTGAACTCTTTAATTCTTAAGTGTGCAAGAACCTGAGGGTGCTCAAAGTTCTTTCATGCAAAAGTCAACTACATTCTTCATTTGAATCATAAAATTTCAATGAAAATCAATTGAATGCTTTTAATATTTCTGTACCAGCTAATATCTGGAATGCGCTGTAAAATAATCTAGCTGCCTTTTAAAAGATCTGTAAAATATATAAAAACAAAAAAGGATATAAATTTTATTAAAAAAATAATAGCACCATGAAGTTTTAACTATCAGTTCCAAACATTAAAAGGCTTCCTCTTTATTTTAGCAAAACTTTAGAAATGTTCATATTGTCTGAACTAACAGAAGGTAGGGTGTTGAGGTGGGGCTTTTAAAACAAAATATATCAAATTTATAACATTTCTCCAATAATCATTGCTGAATATCAGAGATATTCTTATCAGCCCCACTCTTAATAAACTACATTTCCCTGCCTGGTTTCTCAGTTACTATTTATTTAGCAGTTATCCTGCCTTTCCTCTAATGACACCAAGGCAACATAAATGTCCCTGCTTCTTCCAACTGCATCTTCAGAACAATCCTGTGAAGTTAATCAGGCTGAGGAAGAGAGATTGGCTCAAAATTACTCAATGAGCTTTCTGGCTCATGAGAATTTTGGACATGGCTCTTGCAAGCCATAATCCAAATACCTCAGCTATGAGGACAGTGTATTTTCTGTGCTCTCTGTGACAATTCTGCACTGAACATGGAACTGGGTTCAGAATTCAATCTCCAAATAATCCATCCTTTACTTTTATTTTAAGAACATCTTTTAGTCTTCTCTTCAGGCAGCAAAGAAAGGCTTGGAGCTCTGTGGGGAATGACATGAGAGTTATGAAAAACTGACAAGGATGAGATGGCTGCCACAGGTGACTGGTGCTTGTTGTAGTTTGGTGGAGCAGAAGACACAATTGCCAATGGTGTACACACCCAGGGGCAAAAGTGAGCATTCATAGACACAGACACATAGGGATGCATTCTTTCTCACATACATATAGGAGAGGCAAGCACTGAAACACACCGACAGAAAGGACTTGTGACTCTAGTTAAGGAAACAGCAAGAATGGGATGGCTACATGTTGCCTGAATCAGGAGGGGGATGCCCCACTTTGCCATAATGGATGAAACGCAAGTAGATGCTTCCTCCCAACATCAGTACTGGCAAAATGATAACAGAACCAATATAAACAAACAGGATAATTTATTCAGACTGTAGAATTCTGTGCTGATTTGAATTACCTTGGAACAAAATTTGGAAATTCCTGATCAAGATTATCCACCAAATTATGCAAGCCTTTAAAAATATCACTATTATTGCAATTTTCATCTTTCAGAAGCTTTGTTCAGTATTCAAGGCTAGCTCTCGGTGAACTATTTCCCAAATCACTTGTTACTCCATTTCCCCTCAGATCTTAGCTCTGTCAATGGCATTCTTGTACCATTGCCTTGAATTCTCCTCCTCCACCATCTTCAAAATTTACTTCTATTCCCTTCCTCTTTACAATATCTCTCTGAAGCTTGTTAGGGTTAGTCATCCTCACACTCAGGTTAGTTAGAATACATATCTCCCCATCATACTGTTACATAAATGTAGGAGAATGCTTACACAAGATGGTCATTGCATGGACCAAATTATAGTAAATCTGGATTTAAGCCTATGTTATCGGAGTTCACAGATAGCACCCAGCCTACTATTAGGTTCCCTTAATAGCAGGTGTTGGCTATTGTTAAGAGGTAGTTAAGAATTTGGTAATTATTAGATTCTTATTGTAGTCAATTTTGCTGACGGGAACAGAAGGCAAAACTTGTGAGATTTTCTGCCTCAGCTGCCAAAAATCACCTGTTTTGTGTATATGTAGCGCCTTCTTCTCCGCCTCAGGCAGCAAGATGTCATAGGTCTATATATAGTCTAGAAAGGTAGCTTGGGGTGTAGATGCAATCTACTTAATGATCACCATGTTTGTTCCTGGTATAAAAATGTTCTGGCTTGCCAAAAGCTATATGAACAGATTCCTATTATCTTGTCTTTACTACTAATCTCCTGCACTTAAACTAGGAGTGTTTGAGGAAGATGGCATTTTGCTTATAAGGCTGAACTGAAGCCCTGCTTTTCCTGAATAAGCAGGGTTTGAAAAATTTTAGAATGTCTCATCAGTCAGTCAAAAATTTCACAGTCAGCATGTCTGGACTATAGCCTTGCAATTTATGTTAACAAATCTAAACTAGGCACTTGTTCTCGGACTGCAATTCCCAGAAGTCTTCACCAGCAGTTGGCAAGCACGAGAACCAGTCCAAGGACACCTGGGTGACCCAAGATTGGGAATCACTGATTTATACCCTCAGACTTGGGTTGCTTTATTACCTGCGTGCCTCTGCATGAAGCTCATATTTTGAATGCTTTTCATTTGAATGTCTCCTGCAAAAATAAAACTGAAAGCAAAAGCGCCCAGCCTCTTAAGAAGCCAGGGATCCCTCCCACCCCAGGATGTGTCTTTGTTCAGTTGAAATTGGGAGCAGGGAATATCCATATTCTCCAGCATGGGACTACTCTACATTCTCCTGCAGAACTATATCTCTATGTGCTGCTCAAATTCTCTTCTTGCGAGAAGAGGGCAGTTTTACTTTTGCAATGGGAGGGGGAAGGGGAGGACTGGAAGATTAGAGGGAGACAGGCGGAGGGGAAGGAGGCAGGCAGAGATGGAGCTGTGACTCGTCAAGCAGCATTTTTCACTTGTCACAGATGAATGGATGAGTGCATTTTTCAAGCCCCGTGAATAGGTTTTCCCCTGAATTATTACTCTGAGGATCTAGAAAGCCAGCCTACTCAAGAGGAGGTAAGCTTTGTTCCATTTTCATGTCACATTGCTAGATGAATATCCGTTAGGGTTATAGTGAGGTGCGAAAACTCCTTGCTAAATACAAAAGTGGGTGCATTGACATCCATTGCAGTTCTTAATTTTTTTTGTTAAATATAGTATCTTTTCCAAGTGGACAATGGTGACAATCTTTTTTATATCAGTAAGCAAAATTATAATCTGCCCTGGTTCTTGTGCATTAAAAGGGAACCCAAGAGCACGGCCTGGAAAGGAATTTTAATGATAGAAGGAACAGAACAGAACTGGATCCAACTCCTGCCTTCAGGTGCGGAATATTCTCCTTGGGAAGCTCATCCAGGCTCCACGCAAAAAATCAAAAAAGCCCCTTTTTTATTTTCTCAAACTTAATTAAATATGAAAATAAAATATTTCTACATATAATAAATACATTTCTTCCCATATTGGCATCAACTTTAAAAGTCATACTTGCCTCTTATTGCCTTTTTAAAGTACAACTTTGGGGCTATGCACCATAGTGTTGACTTGTTGGTAAGAAGAAAGCTTAAGTCTGGATCCTGCTACCCTCAGGAATTAGTGGATGACAGAGAAAACGGGACATCGCTTTCGATTAACCTAAATAAGTGCAATGATTTTACATCTGACATGGGCATCTACAATCCTTTGGAGGTTGTTCAACTGCAGTTCTCAGCATTCTTCCCCACTGGCTGTTTGTTTCAATTGATGGTAGGTGCAGTCCAACAACACCAATTTGCCCATCCCATTCTACATTCCATCCTCTGAGCTTGAAACTGCCATGCCTATGGACAGACACAGACAAGTAGCAGCTCCATTGTATCCCTACAGAGAAATGTTGTTCACAGCTGTTGTGTTTGCACAATCAACATGCAAAGTCACAGTTTTATCTCACAATGGCCAATCATAACAAAACCACGTAAGTGCTGCAAAAGCACAATGAAATTGGAAGATAATCAGACATTATTTACTCCTCAAGACAGCTCAGTTTCTGACCACAAAGCTGTCATTCATCTATTTCTATCCTGTATCAGAAGCTGGAAACATTTAGGTTCAAAGTGTGATTTCAATTTTACACACTGAGTATCAAGTAAAGATTAGAGCAGAGCAACTATAGATGCCACAGAGATATTATATAATGACATTTTTAGTTTACAGCTAATAAACCTTTATTTACAATTAGCATTGTTAACCTATCTAATATACATATACAAAGGAAGAGAAAGGAGACTATAGAAAGATTAATAGCACAAAGACATATTTTTACATTCAAGTTATCCAGGAAGTCAGATAAAAGGTTTAACATGAAACACTAGCTACTGTTTTACTTAGGGGAAAAATACTTCCATTATCTTATCCTGAAAATTTTCAGTGGAAAATGAGAAAAACAAGTATGAATGAAAAGACTCAAGATCTTGGTTGGAGTAAATATTAACAGGAATGGACTTTGAAGGGGAAAACAAGGAAGGGTTGCTAATATATATAAAACCTACCTAGTAGGGCACGAAATACAGTGGTATAATCTACTATTCCCACTTCCTTAGTGCAGATCCACAGCTGTACATGAAAGAAAGGGGATCCCCATAGGAGATCCCTGAGTTAGACACACACCCACCACTGTCAGCATAGCATTCATTCTGAAGCATGTACCAGAATTTGCACACTAATTTAATACAAACGACATGAAAGTTTGTAGCTTCTATAATGGAAATCACCAATCTTTCTCACATCTTTGTTGCAAGGTATGAATTTCATGGAAACATGTTGAAAAATAGATAACAAACAGTATCAATAAAATTTAATGAGATTTCCAATAAAACACTGGAAATGGTGAATGATAAGCTATAGTTTAGATGTGAGCAGTAAAAAAATGTTTCTACATTCAACTGGATAGTCTAGATGGTGCACATTAAAAATACATGTTTGCAAACTCAGATACTTTTATTGCAAATGCTTAGTGAAGGAACATCCTAATACTCTAAGTCTTCCCAAGAAGTAAAGTACTACCACAGACAAGGGAGAAACAGGGAGAGAGAAGGCGTAAAAATCCCTTCTCCTCTCCTGCTAAATAAATTAAAATCTGTACAAAGTAAGATTTAATCTCAAGTGAGATATGCCACTCAAGTCACTGTTTTTGATTCCCCTAGTTCCGTCTCTCTTCCTGTGTTCTCCTTGTAATTACTTTTGATATGTCTTCTTGGCCCATCATGTTGCTTCCACATCCTTGTCCTAGTTGCTACCAAAAGAAAAAGAAAGAAAAGCGTTGAGACATATTAAAAGCAGAAAATGAGACAGACTGTCATATTGATAAAACCAAAACATTATTTTATTACTTTTCTAATTGCTGGCATTACCCAGTAGCTACAGTATAGAACTTTTTTTCTTTTGATGAAAATTGTTGTTATGGCAGCTGGTAATATCTCATTGAGACTACTGCAGTGCAGGTGGGGGCTGCCTTTGACATCTGCACTTGCTGCCAAAAGTGGGGGGGGGGGGAAAGCAGCCCAACAGGAAACCAAGGCAGGTTTTCTCGGCATTCCCCAGCACAATTCAAAATGCCAGTTTTCAGCCGCAATCTTATTGTTTACCATAGTGAGTGGGCCCACCAAATCAATGAAATTACAGAGCAGTTGACTCACCAAAATCTTCACTGATTCCAGGGGCCTACTTTAGTTGCAATTCACTATGCTAATAGCTAATTATGTAGCTAATACAGAAAAGCCCTGGATAGTTTGGGATCAGGGTACCTGAATTGCCTACTTCCACAAAAACCAGCAAAGCCATTAAAACTGGCCTCAGTGGCCCTGCTCTGTGCTACCTTGCCAATTTGAGTTATAGCAGGTGGTGGCTGGAGACAGCCTTTTCAATTGTTCCCCTGCATTTCTTGCCTTGTTTATTATATTTTTATGTTTTAATCTATATGCCACTCGAAGAGCTATGAATCACTAATAAACCTTTTAAATAAATAAAAGAAAGGGATGCTCTGGACATTACAATTTGTTAAACATCTACTGACTTGTCAATAGGAAGCTTCCGTTGCTGCTTAAACCTCCTTTAAATCCTGGTTGATAAAGATTTGTACTGCCCATTGTCACTCACTTTTAAAAAAAATATTAATTTACTTTCCACCTTAAAAAGAGTTTTGACAACTGAAGGGGCTATAATTATTGGTGCAGCCCAGTTCAGCCTTCCATAAGCCAAATAAAAAACCAGGGGTACCCTCCCAAAAATATAAAGTTTGAAACTGGACCTCGGAGATCAGCACCAAATTTGGTATCAAGGTAGCAAAGAGTCCACTCTTGCTCTGTGATAAATTTGGGGGCTCCCATTCACACGTGTTGAAAAACAGCCCTGACAATTGCTTTGTGTTTGAGTGATAAGTGTTTAACTGATTAAGAAAAGAGTCAGCGACTGGGATTTTCCCTTGTGTGGTGTCACTTTGTGAATGGTGGTGAGCACAAGAGGGGATCCTGGAGACCAGTGGTTCTTAACTTTTTTGAAAGAAACACCCCCTTGAGCCATTGAGGAAGTTATCATCACCTCCCTCCCCGTGGCCGCGGCGCGACGATATCTTCCTCAATGGCAGCGGCAGTGCAGCGTTCCATCGCTCCCCTTCTGTTCCTTTGCCCCTACATTGCCCCTTTTCATTCCATCGCCCCCTGGGGAGCGATATCACCCAGGTTAATAAGAACCACTGCTGTAGACCATCTTGACTGCTGCCATTGGTATTGTCAACATTAAGGCTGTCCTTTGCTATGTAAAGCTTGGCACCCATTTTCCCGCTGTCAGCGCGGGCATGTTATTGTGCAGCAATATGGTGCATCTTCCTGACTTTCTGAATTCTGGATACAGAAGCACAGTATCCCATTCATATACCACAGTTTTTTTTTTGAAGCAGCATGCTTTGAAGAATTGAATTTTTGAATGAAGTAGGTTCCAGTTCTCCACATAGGTACAAGGAAGTCCCATGACAAAACCCCAGGAGAGCAGCTACCATTCAGCATTGATGATAGATGGCTCTCAGAATGCAAATCCCCATGTTTCTTCCTGTGAACACACAGAACTTCTAACATGAGCCGCCTAGAGTGGTCGTAATGACCAGATAGGCGGGGTATAAATGGAATCAATCAATCAATCAATCAATCAGGGAGTCATATCCATGATCCAAATAAAGACCCCTGCCATGAAATGTCAAACATGTAGCATTCTGCTGTTACCATATTTGCAATCTCAATGTCAGGCTATATGACGTTTGGGGCAACATATAGGAAAAAGTATTAGATTTAGGAAGACTTTTTTCATGAATATTAGTTTGCCCCTTCTACTACTGTGGAGTTTCGACTTACAAACTTTTCGACCTACGGACTTCTCTGGCCGCAAAATTTCACTTCGACTTGCGGCCAGAGAATCGACCTATGGACCAGAAGGGGGAGGTGGGGAAAGTGCCAAATTCAAATTTGGCGCTTTCCCTGCCTCCCCCTTCCAGTCTGTAGGATGCAGGTTGTGCCCGCTGTCAGCTTTGAGCTTTCTAAAGCCCGAAAGCCCAGAGCTGACTGCGGGCACAGAGCGGCTTTCGGCTTTTCGACTTCCCAAACTGCAAGGCAAAAGCCGCTCTGCACCCGCTGTCAGCTATCGGGGCTTATTTATTTATTTTATTTATTTAATTTTCTGTCAGCTTTGAGCTTTCTAACCCCCGAAAGCCCAAAGCTGACAGCGGGCACAGAGCGGCTTTCGGCTTTTCGACTTCCCAAACTGCAAGGCAAAAGCCGCTCTGCACCCGCTGTCAGCTTCGGGGCTTATTTATTTATTTTATTTATTTAATTTATACCCCGCCTAGCTGGCCCACCGGACCACTCTAGGCGGCTTCCAAATATAAAATCAAATAATAAAACATAGACAAATACATAATAATCAAACAAGAACAGCAGTAAAAATAAAAAGGAAAAGTAAGAAAAAATCAAGAGTTGGCTGGAGGGAAGGCCTGAATAAACAGCCATGTTTTTAATTGGGTTTTAAAGGTGCCCAGCATGGGGGCTGCGTGAATCTCCGGAGGGAGATTGTTCCAGAGGCGAGGAGCCACCGCCGAGAAGGCCCGGTTTCGTGTCTTCTCCTTCCGGGCCTCTCTCGGC